ACTTTGAAAGAATATCAGATCTCAATGGGGAAAAATATCATGCTGGATATCTATACTGATATGGACTGGGTAATGTGTTAGGAACGTAAGGATGCCCCATCGTTTGATGGAAATTAAAATTATCAACTTACAGAGGACTGAATTCAAAGGCACACCGAAAATCATAATGAAAAAATGATGCAGCAGGCTAGTCCATTTTGCTGAAATGTCATTGCAGCAACTCACAATGGTACTCAGTAGTTTGTATGGCCCCCATGTGCTTATATGCATGCCTTACAATGTTGGGGCATGCTCCTAATGAGATGATGGATGGTGCCCTAGGGTATTTCCTCCCAGATCTGGACCAGAGCATCACTGATCTCCTGAACAGCCTGAGGTGCAACCTGGCAGCGTCGGATGGACCAAAACATGATATCCCAGAGGTGCTCTATTGGATTTAGGTCAGACGAGCGTGGAGGCCATCCAATGGTATAAATTACTTCATCCTCCAGGAACTGCTTGCATACTCTTGCCACATGAGGCTGGGCATTGTGATGCACTAGGAGGAACCCAGGACCCACTGTACCAGCATAGGGTCTGACAATGGGTCCAAGGATTTCATCTTGATACCTAATGACAGTCAGGGTACCATTGTCTAGCCTATATAGGTCTGTGTATTCCCTCCATGGATATGCCTCCCCAGACCATCACTGACCCCCACCACCAAAACGGTCATGCTGAGCAATGTTAAAGGCAGCATAATGTTCTCCATGGCTTCTCCAAACCCTTTCATGTCTATTGCATGTGCTTAGGGTGAACCTGCTCTCATCTGTGAAAAACACAGGGCGCCAGTGGCGGACCTGCCAATTCTGGTGTTCAATGGCAAATGCCAATCGAGCTCTATGGTGCCGAGCACAGGGCCCACTAGAGGACTTAGAGCCCTTAGACCACCCTCATGAAGTCTGTTTCTGATTGTTTGGTCAGAGACATTCATGCCAGTGGCCAGCTGGAGGTCATTTGTGAGGCTCTGGTAGTGCTCATCCTGTTCCTCCTTGCACAAAGGAGCAGATGCTGGTCTTGCTCATGGGTTGAAGACCTTCTACGGCCCTGTCCAGTGCTCCTAGAGTAACTGCCTGTCTCCTGGAATCACCTCCGTGCTTTTGAGACTGTGCTGGGAGACACAGCAAACCTGGCAATGGCACATATTGATGTGCCATCCTAGAGAAGTTGGACTGCCTGTGCAACCTCTGTAGGGTCCAGGTATCGCCTCACCCCAGTAGTGACACTGACCCTAGCCAAGTGCCAAACTAATGAAAAACAGTCAGAAAAGAGGAGTAGGGAAAAAAATGTCAGTGGCCTCCACCTGTGAAACCATTCCTGTTTTGGGGATCATCTCATTTTTGGCCATCTAGTGCACCTGTTGTTAATTTCATTAACAACAAAGCAGCTGAAACTGATTAACAACCCCCTCTGCTACTTAACTGACCAGATCAATATCCCAGGAGTTTAATTGACTTGATTCTATACTCTGATTAAAAAGTGTTCCAATTTTTTTTGAGCAGTGTATATCCTGGACATGTCTATAGCCTTCACAACTGAACTAAATAATAAAAATTCACTTCTCTCCTTGATTCTCTCAGTTGTTTCAAAGTTTTAATGTATTTTTTAGTTAATATCTATTGACAATCAGCATTTAACAAGCAGAAATTCTCTCTACTCAGTCATCACAAATATAGATATCTTGCTTTTGAACAAAATGTGGGTTCACCATTGTCAGTTACAAATATAGAACTAGATTTACATGGAGACATGCAACATACATTCTGTTTCTACTTGTGAACAGTTTGGCAATGGGCTCTAAGTATTTCAAAGGTGGGCCTACACAGTGAGAAACAAGAGTTCTATTTTCTTGGCCACTGAGTGTATTTTCCGGTATATTAAAGTGAAACTCAATGCAAACTACAAATCCCCAAATCCCTAGTCCATCCATCCCATAGGCAAACAAGAGAGGTTACCTACATTCATACTTACAGTGGGACTGTGGAGAACAAATGTAATCGCCCTCTAATAAGAAGTCAGATCACAGCAGCACAGTACTTTTTTGAGTTAGGAATACATTTATCTCCATGACAACTGAAGGCCAGTGTATACCCACACAGAAAAAATCCTGCTCTAGGATGCACTTTGACATGCACAACCTGTACACAGTTGTACCCATGTGCCAAAGGGGAGGGGCATCCAGTATGGACTTGCAGTGTGTGTACAACATTCTCCATTCCTTGAAGTGGTGAACATGAGGTATTACCGCATCACTAAAAACTGCTGACAGCAATAAAAGAGGATGATAAGTCTTTGGACTAACCACCCATGTGCATAGTGCCTTAGTCTGTTGATTCTTTCCTGCTATGCTTGCTATTTATTTATTTTTTATGCCAAAATTATACAATTTGTGCTAAAAAATATTAAAATAATCATTTCTATCCTAAATTTTGTAGCAATTAAGAATAGGAGATGAGTTTGTTTTTAGTTTTTTGTAATCCGTGTTTAAATATGTACAGTTCCATTTGTAAGTAAAATGTAGACGTGGGAAATACACAATAATAAAAGATGAAAATGGGGAAATGGCACAGTTTAGCATTGCTGCAAGGCTGAATGGATGTGAAAGAATTCCTGTTGATAGCTCTGCCTTGTTAATCTTTCACACACAACACAGAAATGTAATCTATTGCTTGCAGCTGTTTCATTCTGCATCCTCAATAACCAGACTCAGATTACTGTTTACGATGAAAATATTTCGGTTGTAAATGCAGTTTCTGAATATGGGACACAAAGTTGTGAGCTTCTGTCAACAAGTATTCCGTTGCAAAATACGTGACCATTCTTTTTTTATTTACTGGAAAGAAATTTGTGAAATTTAACCATTGAATCTTTTCTTTGGTAAGTACTAATTGCACTGATAATTGATATAATTAAATGTGCTACTATACAGGCTTATTTAGAAACCAAATGACTAAAGATGGATGAATGGGCTACTTCTCTTCCTACTAAATTGCAGGGACACAGGCAGGCCATTTTTCTCCATGATTAGCAACCACACATGCCCAGTAACCCTTATCAGTTTGAATGGCTGCCAGGCTGTGGTCAGTTGGGGGCAATGTAAACCAGGAGAAAATTTTTCCCTTTAACTTAGTTAAAGGGAACCTGTCAGGATGAGTAGATTTGAGTTGCCATTGCTGATTTGTTTGCTTATGCAGCATATGAGGTTGTCATGCTCATCTTTGCATCATTAGTAAACTAATGACCAGAAAAAAGTATCCAGCAGTCAGTAAAGTCATAAGTCCCAACCTGCATTCTTGTTTTGGGTCATGTAGTAAAGCCGAGAAGAGAAAGACCACTACAGAACAACCAAAAACAAGTTGGCAAAGACAGCTTCTGTAATTCTGTCCTGGTAAGTTCCCTTTATTTAGATTGAAAAAAAGACTGAAAAAATGTGTAGCTGTAGCCAGTTTTGCATTACAGGGAGACAAATGCTTTACTAACCTTATATAGTCACATGTTTTCTCTGAATCAAATTATGGATTACCTTAGTTAATAGCATGCGGAATACATTATTTGTTTACATGTCAGTATACACAATGCAGCACACATACAACTTATTACACCATCCATACATGTCAGTAAGTGCCTGAGAACATGTGAATGCCTCATGGGACATGTATTCCTGGGTAGGAGAAGGAAATGATTTAAAGTGATTCTAAAGTCAGAAAGTTTTTACCTTACTGCACTCTATGCAGGAATGTAAACAAACCTTCTGTTACCAGCACCTTCCCCTGTATACTTACCTGATCTCTACCCAGCGCTGCTCGCTGTCAGGACTCAGATGACAGCCCGTAAGGAGGGAGCAGGGGACAGGGCCGAGCTGCAATGTGGTGTGTGTGTGTCAACAGAAGCACACCGTGCGGTTAGGGATCGAGCCCACATGAGTGCCCCCATAGCAAGCAGTTTGCTATGGGGGCAATATGAAGGCAGGAGGAGCCAGGACCTCTGGGCCTGATAATATGTATTAGATTCAACCTCTATAAGTGTATGTGTGTGTGTGTGTGTGTATATATATTTTTTTTTTTCTGGGAATGGATTAGATATTTTGTTCCCTAACAATATAGCTGAGTTTTACAGAATATTTGTTTAGCTCATTACATGAAAATAAGGTTAATAGTATAACTTAGATTTCAAAATGTTCATTTTTACTCAAATTAGTTGATGCAAAAATGAATACACCCTACAACAAAAACTACTACATCTAGTATTTTGTATGACCTCCATGATTTGTAAGGACATCACCAAGTCATCTAGGCATGGAATGAACAAGTTGGCGACATATTGCAACATCTATCTTTTTCCATTCTTCAAGTGCGACCTCTTTTAAAGCCTGGATGCTGGATGGAGAGTGATGCTCAACTTGTCTCTTCAGAATTCCCCATAGGTGTTCAATTGGGTTCAGATCAGGAGACATACAGTACCTGGCTACTGATTCACTTTCACCCCGTTCTTCTTCAGAAATGTAACAGTGGCCTTAGATGTGTGTTTTGGATCATTGTCATGTTGGAAAAGTGCACGATGACCAAGGGCATGGAGTGATGGTAGCATCTTCTTTTTCAATATAGAGCAGTACATCTGTGAATTCATGATACCATCAATGAAATGCAGCTCCCCCACACCAGCAGCACTCATGCAGCCACACAGAAGGACATGCATTTTTCTTTGTACTCCTCACCTTTGCGATGCCATACAGTTTTGAAGCCATCAGTTCAAAAAAACATTTATCTTGGTCTCATCACTACAGATTACAGAGTCCCAGTAGTCTTCTTCTTTTTCAGCATGAGTCCTGGCAAATTCTAGGTGGGCTTTTTTGTGCATGGGCTTTAGGAGAGGCTTCCTTTGTGGACGACACCCATGCATTCCATTCCTCTGCAGCGTACGGCGTTTTGTTCCCCAGGAAACAATCACCCCAGTTTGGCTTTCTGCTTCTTAAGCTAACTGCAGTGAACTTGCATGGCGATTTTCTTCAACCCTACTTATCAGTAGACGCTCCTGTTGAGGTGCTAACGTCTGTGGACAGTCTGGACGTCTCCGTGAGATGGTTGCAGTTCCATATTTGTTAAATTTTTGTATCACTTTTGCTACAGTATTCTGACTGATAAGTGAAGTTTTCCTTATCTTCGTTTAGCCTTCATCTCTCTTTTGTAAAGAAATTAATTTCTTTCTCAGGCCTTGTGACATTTCTCTTCCATGTGGTGCCATTGCTAACAGCATGAAATGGGAAGGGGTTTTCTTTGTTAAGTAACGTCCTTTTATAATCAACTGTATGCTGGACACCTGTTTAATGAATAATTAGACTCACCCGTAGTGGAATTCTTGTTAATTAGGATTTTGTTTTTAAAAAATTTAGCTTTGCTCCTAATACTTGTATAGTGGTGTATTCATGTTTGCGATGTGGTTTTGAATGAATTTGTTAGGAAAAATACTTTTTTTGTGTTTGCAAATTAACAAATCTTGTTTGCAATCAATGACCCGCATTTGTGGAAGTATTTTGTAGTATAGTGTATTTTGTAGTGTAGTATAGTATAGTGATTCTGAAAGGAAAGGAAAGGTTTTCTGAATAATATCTGACTAATATGTTGGGGTGTATGCATTTATGCTGAGCTATATATGTGTGTGTGTGTGTGTGTGTGTGTGTGTGTGTTACTCATTGAATACACTGGACCTTAAAGTGGTTGTAGACCTCAGACATGAAACATGAACAAAGCATATCCCTCGATAGTGTGTACTTGTCTCAATTTAGAGCACTAAGTGTCATTTCTCTCTGCTACCTTACTCCTTTGCTATTAGCATGAACCACTTCTGACAGATTTTCCCGACACCAAGAACAAAAAAGATGACGGGAAGTATCTCCAGTACACAGCCTGTGATTGTCAGCATCATCTCTGTTCCTGTGTGCTGTGTGAAGGGTTGTGTGTCCCTTATCTCCAATCAGCTCTCAGAGCTCTCCTCACTGAGCTCTGCAGTGTGTAATTTCAGCTCTCCGCCCTCTGTTTTTTGAAAGCTCAGACAAGCTGTATAAATCCTGCAATTTTAATGACTATAGAGAAGAGAGGGGGCAGATAAACAGGAACAACTTATGCAGGAGGATTTGTTTAATTTCTGTGGATCATCTGAGCCTAGTCACTCTACTGAGTATACATAAGGCTTTACAACCACTTTGAAATGAATAATGGAAAACATAATGGGTATTCTAACATTAAGGAAATGGACAAAAAAAAACAAACAATACAATATGATGGTAATGGTTTACAGTGGTTACTTACATCATTGTGTTGAGCTGTGTGTTTTCTTTAACTATGCACTTTATCTGCATGATCTTACTCCCTGTACAAATCTCATATATAAAGCTTGCAGAGGCATTGTAGTTACACCCTAGATTCCTTCAGTTTTCAACAACTTTAGATTTAAGGGGACACATGCAGATTTGTGGGGGGAAGGGGGATGGACGAATTAGGTCATTGAGGATATTAGACAACTAAAAGGGCCCCTGGGATCTCCAGTAGCAGTGACACCTCCATCCAGGACTGAGTTAGGGAGCATTCCTCTCCCCCGGGGCAGTATTAGTAAGATATGTTAGGTTGGTGGCACTGAGTGGAGAAATGTCACATTCAGATATTGATTAGATGATGCCATTGTAGTATTTTCAGTTCTCTTCCGTTTCTATGACCATGAAAGTTCAAATAGTATACTTAAAAGTAGAATACTTCAGATTGTAGTGAAATGTATCATGATTCTGTTTTGATGCTACTGTTCTGAGCCTTTGTCTACAAAACCATGTTTGCCATTTGGATGCATTACAGTATAGTGATTTGTTGCAATGTTGTCTTTATCCCCTTTTCATCTGTTGCCCGCTGAATTGCTATGAAAGCTGTGGTTGTGTTTCTAGATTAACATAAAATATTAAGAAGAAAGGAAAGGGCTGGATAATTATACTGTTGACATTCAGCACAATTTTAAATGACATCATTCTGGAATATATAAGTAATGGTGACTCTGAAGTAAATGCATACAGATTGGTGCATTCTGGATCTGTCACACAGGTGGTCTGTGCTGTTCGTACACAGTTACCCAGGCAAGCTCTGACAAAATTTGCATTCACATAAAAGTTTTGTGAATGTTTTTCTGTGTTTTACTTCATATTTTTCTCCATTTCATGTAAAATACTGTACAAGTGCATGTACTATAATGTCCAATGAAGTTGGCCCCAGTTAGCAGGTATCCCCTGTGCATGTGTTCACATGAACACAGTCATATTGCAGTACGTGTGACAGAGGAGGTGCAGTGTGGTAAGGTAGACAAATATTTTTTCACAGAACCCTGGGAGGGATATTGGTTTTTGGTATTGGGAGGCATATTACAGTGAAGGTGACGAGGAGATAGAACAGTGTATTGTGATAGCCATTACAACAAATTTGTACTCCGTGCTGGTTACATACTACAGGATTGCACTACTCTGCACAATGTGCTGTACTTTACAACTTTGGACCACACTACTCAGCAGCATGTACTGTACACTACATACTGCAGACCACTACATTTTTTACACTGTGTTCTACATTACATACTCTAGACTACCCAATTTTGCATGCTGTGTTGCACGTAACATACAGAAAACTGCAAATTATACTTTATGTTACCAGACTTCAAATACGATTCTTTACATAATTTGGGGGGAATTTATCAAAAATTGGAGCAGCCATGCATGACAACCAATCAACTTCTATCTTCAGTCCAGTTGCTTTGAAAATGAAAGTTAGGTGATACTGCACAGCTGCTCTTGCACTGATAAATTCCCTCATGTGCACATACTTTGGGCTGTTCCACTCTTTACAAGTTCTGGACCACACTCTCAAACAGCATGTACTGTTCCACTATATATCTCATACCGATCAACTCTGTATATTACATTGCTCTTTTTTACATAATAATTTGTTTCTACAAAAAAATGCCTTTACATACTCTATACACATCACAATTTTTTTGCATGCTGAATTTCACCCTGTTCAACAGATGCTTCTCCCTCACCTTAAGAAAAATTAATAATAGCGCCTATGGTCAAAATTGTATAACTTACTAATAGTGTACAGCTGCAAAAAAAACCACCGATATTAAAGTGTACCAATTAATAAATAATTTGCGCTAGTAAATATATTTAAATATGTCAAAGAAATCATCAAATCATAAGTCCAGAAAAATTGCATATGACAACCAAAAATATCTATCTTAGGTGCAAAAAGTCCGTTAAGGAGTGTCTCAATATAAAAAAGTGTCTCAAATAAAAAAAATTTCAAAGCTATAATGGCAGGTCATCCAAAAAAAAAATATTCTTGCCATGCACAGCTCATCGATCTGAAATAACAGGACGAAAAACTTTCCGTTAATAAATTCCACTTCTCCAATAGAAATGACCACCTGTCGAACGTATCCATGGGGGGAAATGCCAAGCACTCGAGAGCTGACTTCATGGTGCAATATTATAAAAACAATTCCTTTTATTAGATACTCATTGCACTTACTCAAGAGGTGTCCCAGCCGACACCAGCATCAACAGCATCAACAGCAATCACATAAACGAGCCTTTATACTACTCAGCACATGTGCAATAGCTGGCAGTCAAAAACGTAATGACATCACTCAAGCTCCGCCCTACGCGTTTCACATATGTTCCAGTATTTCCCCCCATATATCTCATACCGATCAACTCTGAGAATATTATATTAACTACTCTTGTTATTTTTACTTTTTATAATTTCTTTTTTTTACATTATAAAAAAATGACCTTTTTTTTATATTGAAACTCCTATACACATCACTAGGAAGTTTTTTTTTGAACTTCTGAATTTCACCCTGTTCAACAGATATTTTCTCCCTCACCTTGACTGATGTGCTGTGCTTTTGTCATTGATAAGAAATATCATTTTTAAAGAATATGTAAACCCAACATGTCATATTCCTGATATGTGCCTGCCTACCAAGTACTTGTATGAAAAAGTATCCTGTTCACTTTGTATTGCTTCCTTTGTGTGAAATACCTGATGTTCCTGCCAGTCTCTCTGCTTTCCTCTCAAACATTGACCACACTAAGCATGAGAGCACAACATAGTAAGTGTTTTGGCTGTGCTGGGAACTCAGCCTGTTTTCCTCCAATGATCAGACATGTGCTGACACACCCCTCCTAAACTCCTACGCGCAGCCATTCACTGGGAAGATTAGTGTGCTGGTTTTTCTCCTCCCTGAGCTCCGTATGCAGCTGAAAATAGAGGGTATGTGATCACTTATTAAAAAAAAGGGGGGGGAAGTGCATATAATGTTTTTTTATTATCCTTCATGTTATCCTTCTGCTATTTCTCCTATTCTGTCCTTCAGCATTAGTGGGAGGTGATGAAGTGGTGCTGCAATGTGAGCAAAACGATGTTCTCATTTTTATCAAAGTAAACCTTTGACCTCTGAGCTGTGACGCTTGCAGAGCTGAAGCCAAGAGATCAAAGAGAATCCCTAGGTCCTGCACTGTGCCTGCACAGCAGCTGTGAGACAAGGCCAAAATACATAGTTTTGCAAGTATATATCAATGCACTGTTTGCTTTAAAAAAAAAAACCAAACGTTGGCTCTGTTTTAACATATTTTTATTCTGGGAGATATGGGGGAAGGGACAGAACATATGATTAAATAAGGGGATATCAGACAATATTGCAACTGTGTGTCTGTGTGACTAGTATTAAATGAGGATGCCTTGGCAGTGAGGTGGAGGCTATTGGGAATGAGACACTGATGGCCTTCAGGCCCCATGGAAATCCATCCACACTGAATGTGACCACAGGGATGTGCATACACTTAATACTTTTATCCAACATGCCAGGTTACAGCAATTCCCTATTCCATGTTGAAAGTGTCCAGGAAATGTTCTACTATCTGTACAGATGCACAGTTCTCTTCTAGTTAAAGATAACACAGTAGAGCCTTCAATTATTTCTGTAAAATGTGTTATAGGTAGAATTGCCATCTGGCACC